CCCCTGGGTGGGCGGAGCTTACCCAGGGTGACTGCCCCCTAGGTGGGTGGGGCTTACCCAGGGTGACTGCCCCTGGGTGGGCGGAGCTTACCCAGCGTGGAGACTCAACACCTCAACACGGGGCAGAGCCTGGCTGGGTGGGCCTCCCCCCCCCACCGTGGACTAGGCAGAGCACCCTAGTTTGCCAAGGTGAGCAGCAGCTTACAGTGCACGTGCAGCCGCACCAGCGCCTCGGCGGTGCCCTCGGAGTTCTGGCAGTGGAGCTGATAGAGGCCGTCGTCGGCGCGGGTCACGTTCCACAGCTGCAGGGCTCCCCCAGACAGGATGCGGTGCCGCGGGCCGCCGGCTGCAGGAGGCCACGGTTGGGAGCCCGCAGGGTCGGGGGGACCAGGTCTGGGAGACCCGCACCCCTCTCGCGCACCTGGGCTGAGGCGGTAACCGCGGAAGGTCCAGTTGAACGCCTCGGGGGCGGGGTTGGCAGACACAGACACTGGCAGCAGGGCCTCGCCCCGCTCCTCTGCGGTCACCACCAGCACCTGCTCCCCCAGAAACTCTGGAGGGACTGCATGGGGGCGCCCCCCAGAGCCAAGGTTGTTGTTAAAGTGGGGATCCGAGGTGAATTTAAGATCAGATATAGGTTTAAAGTTGGGGTCGCTACTAGATTTAAGGTCGTGGGCAAGGTAACAGTTAAATTTCCTTAGGAGCAGAGGCCATGGCGGCGGCAGACCACCCCTGTCTCCCCGCTGCTCCCCTCAGCAGTGGACTTCCTTGAGCTGCCTGTTCTGCTCCCCACTCTGTCTCTGGTGAATCGTCTCACTGCCCCGCCCCTGCACCTCTAGCCTGTACCCCAGTTCTTATATGCATCAATGCATAAATCTTTAAAACAGAGGGGAGCAGCGGGCGGGTCAGGAGAGGTCTGCCGCGCGTGTACCCCAGTTCTTATATGCACCAATACATAAAATAAATCTTTAAAACAAACAAAAAAATAGGAGTGGAGGCCATGTTCTGGATTAAGGATGGACAGAGGGGTCAGGCCAGGGGCAGGGCAGGACAAAGGTGAGCTGGGGGCTGGGCAGGGGAGGGGTCAGGATAAAGGCCAGTCGAGTCAAGGTTCAGGGTGGGGAGGAAAGACTTGAGGACCCGGTGGCTTAGGGCCGGGAAGGGAGGACGCTCGCGGCCAGGGACATACACAGCACGTTGAGGCGGTAGGAAGCGCTCACGGTCTCCCTTAGCGTGGCGCTGTGGGCTCGGCAGGTCACACGGTGGCCCTGGTCGCGGGATGACACTCTCAGAAGGACCGTCCTGGCGGCGGACGAGCCTTTGAACGGGGCAGCCCGGGCCCTGGCAGCCACATCTTCCAGCCTGGGCGGGGGGCGGGGGTGTGTGGTCAGTTCGGGACTGGCGGGGGCGGGGTGGTGGGCACAGAGAAGGACAGGGAGTTGGGGGACAGCAAGGGGGGCGACCAGGGAGAAGTGGGGTCACTGGCACTCTCACCTCTCCCCCTCCTTGTCCCAAGACAAATTGACCGGAGGGTTACTGCTAATGCTGATGCAAGTCAAGTTTAAGGAGTCCCCGGGGCGGAGCTCGGTTGCATTGGCCATGATCGTCAAGTTAGTGGGGGGAACTTGGAAAAGAAGGGGGGGTGGGGCCGGGGAGGGGGGTTGTGGGCAGAGCTCAGAGACGAGGAGGCCCCGCCCTCTTCCACCTGGTCTCACTCCCTGACCCCACCCGGACCCCCCACACACACACCATCGTTGGGGGGAGGGGAGTACCCCCACCCAGCTCTGGCCCAGAGCTCCCGCGCCCTCCCTGCGGCCGGCAGTGCCCGCGCTCACATTCCACGGCCAGCTGCGTGGACGCGCTGAGCTGGCCGGCCTTGCACGTGAACTTGGCCAGGTTGTCGGAGGGACCCGTGATCAGCACCAGCTCGCGCGAGAAGGTGCTCCCTGACTTCTCCAGGCTCCCCAGCTGCACGCGTCGCGGCTCCTGGGGCTGCCGTGGTTCCGACACCGTGCGCGAGTCCTGGAGGCCAAGACTGAGTGGGGGCCCACGGTAGCCCTGCCACCCCCAACCCAGCCCTGGTTGTGTGATGAGGAAAAGGAGCCTGGTCCTGAGCACGGGACGCTGTCCTGCACCACCAAGTCCAGAGTAAGGAGGCGGGGCTGGAATTGAGCAACACACACACACACACACAGACCCTGCCTCTCTCCTCCCAGGCTGGGCCCCCTGAGTCAGGGGTCAGGACCCCTGAGTCGTGTGTTTTATACTCTAGAGACCTGCAACCGTCCAAGTCCCCTGCCCACCCTCTGCCAGGAGCCTCCAAAATCATTCCTTCTACATTTACCAACACCATAGGCCAGAAACCCCTTTGGAATTCCCCGACTTTTCCCAGAATTCCTCCACTTTCCCCCATCCTTAATTATTTTTCTTAAAATCTTTCCTTTATTTTTTAAAGGAAAAATTTATTTTTTAAATTTTAAAAAAGATTATTTAAGCATACAGAACTGGGGTATAGGCCAGAGATGTGGGGGTGTGAGGATTCACCAGAGACAGCGTGGGGGGCAGAGCAGGCAGATGGACTGCTGAGGGGAGCAGCGGGGAGACAGGAGAGGTTGCTGCGCCCTGGGGGTCAGCTCCCTGGCCAGGGATCGAACTCGTGCTGCAGTGGCTGTGAAGAGCTTCACAGTGCTAAGTTTTACCCCACTGTGCCATCAGGGAGGGCCCTAAAATTTTCTTTCATTTTTCCGTACCACCAATTGTTTTCCCACAGATTTCCAGATCTTTCTTTACTATTCTCTTACCATAATCCCCTGTATAGTTCAAATTCTTGGCATTTCCCCAAAATTCTAGTCAACGATTGAAATTCCAGTGTCACTCCCATAATTTCTAGGCTTAAAGGTCACTCCTTAATGCCCCAGGATTTTCCCAGAATTCTGTCAGAATTTCTTTAAATGTAAATGTAATTTTATTCTACTTCTCCTGGGACCCAAGAGTGATTTTCAGCTGTACTGTGGAATTGCTAACGTTTTCCCCAAATTCCTAGTCCTTGCCCAGACTCTCACTGGCTTGGCTCCTGAAATTCTTAGTTTTTTCCTAAAATGCCATTTCATCTGAATGCTGAGATTTCACTAGAATTTCCTTTACTTCTGTGAAATTAATCGCCTTTTCACTATAACTCCAAATCCTCAACCAGAATTTCTTCCTCTAGAACTCTCATGTTTTTTCAGGATTTCCAGAATTTTCCTAGAATTCCATTGAGTTCTCCCGGCATTAATGTTTTTTTCCGATTCCCTGCCCAGACTCACAAGCTCCAGTACGTGTCAAGAAATTCAGATTTTCCAAAGATTTCCCAAGACAGGAGAACGGCCTTCATTCCTGCCCACAGGGGAAGGTCCAGGATGGTGACAGTGGGGACAGCAGAGAGACCGAGGCTGACACAGCTTCTGCAGGGCACCAACCTTGTACCAGGTGAGCGAGGGGTCCGGGTTGCCTCCGATGGCCAAACACACCAGCCTCACGCGGGTCCCAGCCCGGAACCGCTGGCCCTGTGGGGGCCCCTCGATCCACAGCTTCTGGGCCGGATCTGGGGGGAGAGCCCGGAGGAGCGGCTTTGTCTGTGTTGGGGCATGAAGATGGGTCTCTAGGGCCCCGGAGCCCCCCTGGTGAGCCGGGGCTCACATTTCACATTCAGGGTGAGCGACTTCTTGAAGGTCTCCTTGGTGAAAGCCTCGCTGAAGGCCTCGCACGTGAGCATCAGGCCATTGTCCTCACGCCGCGCCAGGAATGTCAGGTTGGACATGGAGATGTGGCCCCCATGCAGGCCCTGGCAGGAGGGGGCTTCAGTCCTGGGGGTAGGGCACCCCCGTCCTCGGCACCAGGGGCCCGAGACCACCCGGATTCCAGAAGGAACACATCTCCAGCTCCTCCTCTGTGAGACCCAAGAGGTGGGGCCCAGTCCATGCTCCCCAAGGACCAAGGCTGATGCCAAATACCCCCTTTCCCAGACCCAGGAGTCACGCCCCCGCCCACCCTGCCCTCAGACCCAGCCCGGCTCCCGCCTCACGTCCATGACAGTCTCCTCTGTGGGCAGCAGCTGGCGCCAGCCCAGCCACCACCGCAGCAGGACCTGCGGGCGGCTGGACTTGGTGATGCAGGACAGCGTCATGTTCTTGTTCTCAGACTGGGACGGGGACCCCAGGATGGTAATGGCGCTGGGGGGGACTGCGGGGTTTGGGCACAGAGAAGAGGCACAGCTGGGCTGCAGGCCTCACAGACCCGTCCAGTCGGATGGGGACTGCGGACAGAGGGCTTCATGTCCGACAGGTGTGAGTTGGGGGCATCAATGGGTGGCTGTCTGGGCCACAGGCTGACATCTGGGCATCTAGCACCAGACTTACAGGTGACCTGCAAGGTGACCCTGCGTTCCTGGACCGTCGTGGACACGCTGTTGTGGGCCTCACAGCTGAGCCTCACCCCGTGGTCCTCCGGCCGCACCACCATCACCAGCAGGCTGCTGGCCACTGCCTGAGTGTGCTCCGTGCCCCAGGCTGTGGACACTGGCTGGCCGTTCTGGAGACAGGGACAAGCTCAAGGTCAGGTCCCGGCCCCGTCTCTGCCCCCACCCAAGGCGGCCTCGGCTCTCACCTTCAGCCACTGCAGCGTGGCTGGGGGGTTCCCGCCCCGGGCCGTGCACAGGAGCTCCAGGTTCTGCCCTGCCCGCACGTGGCCCTCGTCCAGGCCGGGCCACTCAATGACGGGGGGCCCTGGGGGGACTGAGGGGCAGCTGTCACTCACAGGAGCTCATCCGTTCTTCGCAGGCCCCACAATCTGCCTCTGAACGCCCAAGCTTCTCACTGAGTCTTGAATCTTCCATAATCCCCACACTCTCCCAGAACCCCCAATTTCTGCTCCCCATCCCCAGTGTCCACAGCTGACTCAGTTCCCCACTTACACAGAATATTCATGGTGAGTGAGACCTTTATGGGGATGACCAGAGCGGGGCTGGACCCCTCACAGACCAGTAACTGCCCATTATCCGAGCTCTGGGGTGTCACCCTGGGGTGGGAAGTTGGGGTTCTGGAGTCAGAGTCATCATCTGAAATTTGGGGAGTCAGGGTGAAGAGGTGGGGAATCCCAGTCCCCACAACTGGTCTAAATCTCCACACTGATCTCTTCTAGAATCTGGAGTTCCATGGAAGAGATCTGGGGGGGGAAGTGTCACTTGTGATAACTGGGGTCCCAGAGTTTTCTACCTGGCCCAAATCTTAGAACTGGGCTTTCTAAGAATTTTTAGAGTGCCGGGTGAAAATTTTGGTCCCAGATAGTCCTACCTGACCCAAGTACCCATTGCCTGGGATGTGGGGTTTGCATGGAGAAATGCGAGCATCAGAATGGGGGTGGGGGCCCCAACTTTCATACCTGGCTGTGGCCTCTGTGGTGAAGAGTTTCTCCTGGGACCCCTCATTCACATTAGTAGAGATGTCAGCTACTGTTTGTCCACCTTGGGGTAACAACAGGACTGGTGAGTTGCTGGGTACCCCCCAAGGAAGATCCTGGGGGTCATGGCCTAGACATGCTGCTCCCTCCCTTCTGGTGTGCCATCTCAGCTCCCACACATTCAGGCCTCCCCCAAACTGGAGTTCTCTGGGCTGAAGGAGTTTCTCCCAGCCTCTCCCCTCCCCTCCCGTCTTTGCTAGTTGTAACAGTCACCCCCTCACCTCAGTTTCTCATTTCTGCACCAGCAATGGCGCCCAAATCTGTTGGGGCCTCAGCCTCTTCCCTGGGCGCCAGACCAGGAGCCCCACAACCTCCCAGGCACTTGCCCCACGGCCTCAGCATCTCCCCAGGCCTGCTCCTGTGTCCCTACCTCAGGAGTGTCATATTGCGGGGGACCCCTAGGTGGACAATGGGGCTTTATGCTAGCCCCTCAGTTCATCCCACTCACTCTGGAGAAAGATGATGTCCGGTGCTGGCTTGGCATCCCCGGACACACAGCTGACCTCATATTCCTGCCCAGCCACCCACGTGACTGTGCTCCCGGCCTCGGGGGTCAGCTGGAGCACCTTGGGGGGCACTGTTGAGAAAGAGCCTGGGCTAAGTCGCCAGGGCAGCGCTCGGTGCCGCATTGCTGATGGAGTGAGTGTACACCCGACGCCTGGGGAAGGAGGGGCTGGCTTGAAAGCTGGGAGCCTGGGGTAGGAGAGCTGCAATCCAGGCCCCAGACCCTGGGCGCCCCCTTACCCAGGACGGAGAGGAGCACTCTGGGAGCCACGAGCTCCGGGCCCGTCTCGGAGCGGCCGACCTGGCACTCGTACTCGGCGTCATCGCTGAGGTCACACGCGTCGATGCGCAGGTGGAACTCACCTGTAGCGGGACCCAGCCTCAGGCCCAGGCCCCGCTGGCGCCCACAGCCTCAGGGGAGGGCCCCTCACCTTTAGAAGGGTCTCCTTCCAGGGAGTACCTGGGGAAGCCTGGGATCCTGGGATCGGGGCCCAGCAGGAGCCCGTCTTTGGCCCACTGCACCACACTGCCTGGGGCGTGGACCCCACACCGCAGCTTGGCAGTGGCCCCCTCCACCACCGTTGTGTTTTCGGGCAGGCCCCAGAAGCCTCGGGGGGCCAAAGCAGGGCTGGGAGACTGGGCCAGGCCTGGGGACACAGGTGGGTGAGCGGAAGACAGAGGGTCTGTCTGTCCGGTGGGAGACAGGGGCCACCTGGAGCTGAGCCCCAGCCAGGTCCCACTCACCTGCGGTCAGCAGCCCCATGAGGAGTAAGGTGGCCGAGGCGGGGATCCTGAGGGCCATCCCGGGCCGCTGTGGTCCAGGAACAGCTGCCCTGCGTCTGCCTCCCTTTAGGTCCCTCACTCTTTTCTCCTTGTGTCCTTTTTCTGTCTGTCGCCTTCTCTTCCTGTTTCCTCTCTCCCGAGTACCTTGGCCCCCCTCTATCTCCCTAGTCTAGGGCCCCTCCAGCCGCTCCCCCACCCAGTCTGTCTTTCTCCCTGTCTAAGACACCCCCTGGGGCCCCCTGCAGCCTGTTTCTCTCTCCTCTCTCCAGCCACCCCTGCCCTGCTCTCCTTCTTTCACCCTCACAGCTCACAGCCCCCTAAGGAGCACCCACTGCCGGCCCGGGAGGCCAGTGTGTCCGTGGCCGGCAGGACCCCTCCTCCTCTCTGCCCGCTTTGCTCCCCAGTGTCATCCCCAGGCTGCAGCTCCAGAAGGCTCCTCCCAGTCGGTCCTCGGCCAGCCGGAATGTAAAATCCCCTGTCAGCACATGCCAGACACATTCCTGGGCGCCTCCCCAGCCCAATGACCCCAAACACTTGCCTGGGGTCAGGGGTAAGGGGAGGCGGGTCAGAGCCAGGAGGTCCCAGCTCAGCCTGGGGGCAGAGAGCCCGCTGCCAAGGGGCCCAGTCTGCCTCTTCCTGGCCTGGGTCATGGTTTTGGCAAGAGTCCCCCCAGGCGAGCCAGGGACTCTGCTGGGGAGCGCGCCAGCCTGTGAGGGACAGGGGTGCAGGGAAGAGAGCAGGTGAGCGTGTGTTGGCCTGTGGTGTGCAGAGCGTGTGAGCGTGCAAGGGACCAGAGTGTAATGCACGGGCAGTCGGAGCCACTGCAGAGGAAGGCAGGCCCGAGACCCGCAGCGGGCACAGGCCTGGCATGGAACTCCTGGCTGCTGGGACGGTGAGTTCCAGCTCAGGCCTCCTCCCCATCCGCCCTTCCCCAGTCTGTCTTTGTCCTTCCCTGCCACCTCCACTGTCCTTCCCCATCCCTTTGAACCTCTTCCTCTCTGAGTCTGAGTCTGTCTCTCTCCTCCTCTCTCTCCAGTGGGGGTTACATCTGCATTGTAAATGCACCTCTCCCACCCCCACTGCCTCTCTCTTTGCATGTCTGTTTCTCTATTTCTGTCTCTGCCCTCACCCCTATCCCCCCCTCCACATTTGTCTCTTACAGACACCAGGGGCTCAATTTGTTTTCAGCCAACCTCTTTCTGCCTCTTGCTGTTTCCCCATCTCTGAGCCCCCCCATCATCACATCCTTGAACCCCATAACCACATGCTGGCCGGACCTCTGTCCCAGCGTGCACACACGCCGAGGCTAAAGCTGCGTCTGCCTGCTTATCTCCTGCAGGAACTGCTCATCTGTTCCCCTTCTCCGCACTGGCCCCCATGCAGGCCCTCCTCTAGCAACAAGATGGAGCATCTGGCCTGCTCCCTCAGCAACATCCTCAGCTGCTTTAGCCTTCTCCTTCCCTCCCACACAGACTCCTGCCCCTCCCACATTCCCCGCTCCCAGGCTGCCCCCCCACTCCTCCTGGGGAATGGGCTGGAGGCCCTCACCAGATGGTGTCCCCCTGGGCCGGGGTGCAGAGCTGTCAGTCTCTGGGAACTTTAATTAACACCAGCCTTCCCCCTCCACCTTAGCTGTTTTCCTTCTGGAGGCTCCTGGGACCCGAGCTCTCCATCTTTCCATGCCTGTGGCCCCAGAGAGCTAAAAGGGGAAGGAGAGCAGGTGTCTGGAAAAACAGCCTCACTTCCTGACTTCTTTTCCAAGCCATAGGAGTCTTGGCCCCAAGATCGCCCAGTTTCAAAGTCGAGGGCCTGGATCCCCAAAACAGCAGTCAGGACCTGGACATCTAAGCCCTCAGGACCCACCTCTGGAAGGCTCAGGGGTCCAGACAGCACCCCTCTCCTCAACAGGCTTCTTACCCTCCCCCGCCCCCCACAGGACTCAGGGCGAGGTTCAGTCTGGTGATTTTCAAATCCTCGTGGGCCTGGTGGGTGTGTGAGGCCTTCTCCAACCACCCACTTGAAGAACCAAGATGAGATTTTTCTGGTCCCTGTCACGGCAGGGGAATTGTGTCTCCAATTTCTTAGAAACTCGGGGTTCAGACTATTCATTTCTCAATCAACAAAGGTCTAAACCCCGATCTTGGACTCCTGGGACTCCAGCCCCTGCCCTTAGGGAGGCAAAAACCCAGAGCTCAGGACCAAGGAGAATCTGAACGTGGAATCCCTCCCTGCAGGTTCAGGAGTGTCAGACCCAGGGAGGCAGCCCCCCCTGCCTGGGCGAGGGGTCCCGCCCACCTGCCCGCCAGCTGCGCGGCGCACCCGCGGCCCGAAGCGTGGGAACGCCCCAGCTGGCGACCCGCAGCCGTCAGGACAAGCTGCGCGGTTCCCAGCACCCCCTCCGCCGGGCCCCGCGCCGCCGCCTCCAGCCGTCGCCCGGCAACCGCCGAGTGGGCGAGGGGCTGGCCCGGCCGCGGGTCCTGGGAAAGGCGGGGCTGGGGGCCGGGATCCTGGCTCTCGGGACGCGCCGCGGGGTGCAGCCTAACGAGGGGGGCAGAGGGAGGTTTTGAGAAGGGGTTTCGCGGCTTCTAGACATGAAACTCCTTCCCTCTTCTCCGGGGTCCCCGCTGTCTCCCGGACACCTGGGCGCCCTCTTCCTGACCCATAGGCTCAGGGGAGCCCCGCGCCCCGCCTCCCCAGGGCGCGGAAACTAGCGAGGCCCCAGAGGCTCCCATTTATAGCCGCGTTTCCACTCCGCTAGGTCCCTGCAGGCCCCGGGCTGAGCAAGTTTCTTCCACTCCTTTCCCTCCAGCCTCCGCTCCTTTCTCTCCTGTACCCCCCCAATCTCGGCAGCGTGCAGGTGTCCAACACAGCGGGGACCCCTCTGTCGGCCCAGGTGTTCTGGCTCCCAGGCCCCCCTTGGGCCCAGGCACCCGCCCGCCCGCGGGGGCACCCGGCTCTGCCAGTCCCCATTCATCAGCGCCCCGGCCGCGGGAGTTTCTCAATGGAAGAGGGCGGGTCTCCCGGGGGCGGGCCGGGGCGGGGTGAGTGGGAGCGGCCTCTCCAGGGGTCTCTCGGGCACCAAGCGCGCGGAAACGCCTGGCAGGCGATTCAGAGCGTCGTCGCTGCCTGCGGCTGAGCACACTTGGGGAACTACAGCGCGAACTGGAGGGGTCTGTAAGCCTGGAGGCGACGTGGGGGGCGGGACCCTGCGAAGGGAGGAGTTGGCAGGAAGCAGGTGCCACAGCTAGTCTGCGAGATCTTGGGGGACCCTCACTCAAGATGCTGGTCTGCGCCCTCCTGATCCTCCTCTTCTGCCTCAGGGGGCAAGCAGGTACCTGGGGTTGGAGGGATGCAGATAACTAGGGGGTTTGTTTTCAGTTGCTCATTTTCTAGGGTGGCTGGGGCTAGGGGGTTCAGACTCCTGGATCTAAGGAAGGAGAATTCTGGGGGTCCTGGGCATCTGGGTTTGAGGGAGGAAGAGGTTGGGGCTTGAATCCTGAATGAGGGACCTCTTGAATGTGCTAAGTTCAGCCCTGTTGTCCCCACATTCTCCTAGGGTCACCCCACTTCCTGCAACAACCCGAGGACCTGGTGGTGCTGCTGGGGGATGAGGCTCGGCTCCCCTGCGCCCTGGGGGCGTACCGGGGGCTGGTCCAGTGGACTAAGGATGGGCTGGCTCTAGGGGGTGAGAGCGATCTGCCAGGTGAGGCTGTTCTCACTCTTGGGGAGTCTGGCTTCAGGGTGAGGGTGCTGGGCCTGAACTATACCTGAAGTTCCATTTCCACCTGCTCCAGTTTGAGATATGGCTGGGCTCAGGTAACTATTTGAGTCCTGATTTTTTAGCTTCCTCTTTGGGAGGGACATTTTAATTTTTATTGTAAATATTGCATAAATGCAAAAAAAAAAACAGCTAAAGCAAATGGAAGATTTGCCATGTAATTATAAAGTAGCCACCCCTAGGTGTCTTCTCAGGCTAGTTTCCAGGGCCCCAGAACTCCCCTTTATCCTTTTCCCTATCATAGTGATCTCCTTGCTCACCCCAGAGACGACATCTAACATGACTTTGATGGCAATTATTTTCTTATGGCTATTTTTTAACTTTATCATCCCAAATTTGCAGTCACTCTGGGTTGGGGTAAATTGGAGTCTCTGGCCCATACTCACTCTTCTGGTGTGGGATGGATGGGGGTGGGGGTGGAGGCCTTGGGACTCAGAAACATGGCGCGGCTGCCTCTTCCCCTGCTCCAGGGTGGTCCCGGTACTGGATAGCCAGGAATGCAGCCAGTGGCCAGCATGACCTCCACATCAGGCCTGTGGAGCTAGAGGATCAAGCATCCTATGAGTGCCAGGCCACACAAGCAGGCCTCCGCTCCCGACCAGCCCGACTGCACGTGCTGGGTGAGGCCTGGCCAGTCCACTCTTCCCTGGGGACCCTCGGGGTACAGCGGGCACCAGCTGGGAGTATCTGAGACCAGGGAACCCAGAGGGGTCTTTGGGCCCTGGATGTGGCTCTGATCCCCACCCCCCATCCTTGCAGTGCCCCCAGAAGCCCCCCAGGTACTGGGCGGCCCCTCTGTGTCTCTGGTTGTCGGGGTTCCTGCGAATCTGACCTGTCGGAGCCGGGGGAATGCTCACCCCCCGGCTGAGCTGCTGTGGTTCCGAGATGGGGTCCGGCTGGATGGGGCCACCTTCCATCAGGTAGGGTCCTCGTGTATTAGGTGACATTCAGGGTCCACTCAGATCGCAGGGCCTCCCAGAGGAGAAAAGGACATGGGAGAGCTGGGGTTGACACTGGGACCCTTGGTATGTAACCAGGGGAAGGACCCTATGGCTGGGCTGCCTGGGTTCAAATCCTTGCCGTTACGACAGGGGTGATAGCAGTATGCACCTCATCGGGTGAAAGCAAGCAACATCTATATTTGCCCAGAAGAGTGCCTAGGTCTAGGAAGCACCATCTCAGCGGTAGGTGAAATCATCATCATCACTATCATCACTCACAATCTCCAGACCGTGCTGAAGGAAGGGACCGCTGGGACCCTGGAGAGCATCCTATCCTTGACCCCCTCCAGCCGTGATGACGGAGCCACGTTGGTCTGCCGAGCCCGGAGCCAGGCCCTGCCGTCCGGGAAGGACACAGCTGTCACGCTGAGCCTGCAGTGTGAGTCAGCTGCCCTCTGGGTCCTGAACCTGAGGTCCTGGGGGAGAGAGGGACTCCGGGGTATGAGAAAGTAAGGGACTGTGACCCAGGGGAACTGGGAGCTACAGGCCAGGGTTCCTGGCTCAAGGGGAAGGGGGGGCTGGAGACCCAGATCCTGAGATAAGGCAGGGGGCTGGCCCCTAGGTCATCAGTGGTTTCGGGTCCTTGCCCAGCTGACCCTTGGCCCACCTCCACAGACCCCCCAGTGGTAACTCTGGCCGCAGACCCACAGACTGTGCAGGAGGGAGAGAAGGTGACTTTCCTGTGCCAGGCCACAGCGCAGCCTCCGGTCACCGGCTACCGGTGAGCCGCCTCTAACCAGCCCAGAGCTAAGCTTGGGGAGAGCTGGGTGTGGGGTTGAGTGGGTGAGTCTCGGGAACAGGGACTGCACTACAGCCCCCTACCTCCACAGGTGGGCAAAGGGGGGCTCCCCGGTGCTGGGCGCCCGCGGGCCTATGTTGGAGGTGGTGGCGGACGCCTCATTCTTGACCGAGCCAGTGTCCTGCGAGGTCAGCAACGCGGTGGGCAGCGCCAACCGCAGCACGGCGCTGGACGTGCAGTGTGAGCCTGGGCGGGGCCGCGGAAGGGGGCGGGGCGGGGGTGGGGCTAGGATGGGGCGTGGTTGCGAAGGGATGGGGGGGTCCGAGTTGGACAGAGGCTGGG